AAGGTCAAAATCAACTCCTAGATCCAGCTCTCATCCTCTCGGCCTTCAACTGAGCAGACGTTCGTTAAGAATAACTCACCCTCACTGAGCAAAGATGTGTCAGGGTTCTTCTGCTCTATTTGAACTTCTTGACCCCTACTTAGAGTAATTGCACATACATTTTCATTAAGATTAATCATTATTTGCGAGGGAAGTGCATTCGCACCTTGCTGCTGTAGTGAATTCATGGTAGTTGGCATTTGTCCAATTTGGATTTTCAAGTCATTGAAGTGTTGCTCTAGTTGTGTGCTTCATGTATTTTGCGTTATCATCTGTTGTGTGAGTTGCTTCATCAGATCTTCTAGCGTAGGCCCAAAGTTATCCTGTTGCATAGTACTACTTTGGCTTGGCTGTAATGACACAACATATGGTGTAAACTTGCATGTTGTCTCAGTGAGGGAGGTTGATACTCCTGTTGTTGGTAAATGCCTTGGTTGCTTGGCAGGAAAGGAATCTTTGGTAGCTGGTTGAAGACAAGATCATATTTCAAGTTTGGATGGTCTCTCTAGCCATAATTATATGCGGACAAGTATGGGTTATACTCCTGATGTGGGATGTATGAGTTTAACTGCCCGTAATGTTGTTGTTCAGGGAATATACCATCCACTGTTTCCCTAATTAAGCTTGGTATTTCCTGAAGTTGAGGACATACATCAGTGGGATGATCTAGAAAGGTGCATATCCCACATACATATTCTTGCTATTGAAATGTGTGTTAGTTTATGGCCAATTATCGTACCAAAGATGTTAGCTTGTCCAACATTCTTTCAAAGTTCATATCCTCAAAATCACTTGTTTACTGGAATGACAACGGTAGACTGTGAACAAGTACACCAGGTAGGTTTCCAGGAAGAGAGGTGGGTCATAATGAATACACTTAAGTACCAAGTCTTTTCTAACCAGAATCCTCCTAGACATGCATTCTTACACTATCAAGCTATATCCAGAGTTTACTACAATAATGGTTTTCAAGAATTTTCTTACAATGATGACTTATCTAGAATTTCCTGCGATAAGGGTTAGGAGCACAAACAAAACAATTTTTTTTTTGAATTTTTTTTCGTAAAGCTAGAAAAAGTAAATTAGAAAAAAAAAAAGAAAGAAAATGATATTAGACAATGTTACATAACACAATTGTGTCCCCGACAACAACACCATTTGATAACAGTATTTTGATTGTACAAAATACTGACTAAAAATAATAAACAAGTTGCTAAATTAATGGAGGATAACTACCCGTGTCGAATCTCACAAGGACACAATTATAGGAACATACTCATTATCATATATCATTCTCTCTAAAACAGTAAATAACAATAAATATGGGATGAATGAAAGAGTGAAAAAGAAATAAATTGATGTAGAATAATAAAAATTAAAATCAAATTGCTATAAAAGATTGACAATAATTAAAATTAAACGGAAACATAATTTAAATAACTGAAATTTATAAAATTAAGATAAAGTTGTTTTAATTAAAAGTGCAGGAATCAAGAATTGCTTTGAAATAAAATAGTGCAGTAATTAAATTTGAAATTCTGAAAGCGATAACTCTAAAACTAAATATAAATTGGAAACGAGACGAATTGAAAATGAAAATTATGCAATATTGGAATAAAAATTTTAAACAATTAAATAATAGAAATTAAAATGAGCACTGAATAAATAAAATAACTAGAACAAGATAAACTGAAAAATTCAATGGAAATTGTAAATTAAATAAAAGAGAACAAACTAGAAATGTAGTAGCAATAGATGAACTCGCCTAACTAAAAATTAAATTACGAATTGAGAGTAGGAAAAGAAAATTGGGACGAGACAAAACAACAATTCTCACCCTAGGCTAAGAGATTGTTATTGTGAGTTGTCGTAAGACCTCTATTTATAGAGATTTGAACAAAAAAATAAAATTAATTACAATAAAATCAAATATTTCTCAATTAACTAATTAATTACAAAATCTAATTATTGTGAAGAGAAATTTTTGGGACTGATTTGGAGAAAATAATCTGCTTCTTTCCTATTTTGAGTGATCCAGCATTGATTTGTATTTAATTCTTGATTACTGTTGGCCTTTAATTCAATTAATTTGGATTCCCACACCAGTTTTTGCTTGATTCAAAATTTTCATTTGTAACATTTTGTAAGTGGGCTTCATAAGCAAACTTAGACTTCCAATAAGAGTGAAACTTGACGGCTTCAATTTGGACATTTCTTTTCATCACTTTGACTAATCTCAAATTACCTCTCCTATACAAAAGAAATATGCAATGTGAATATATGTATGTATATTATTTATTATGCTAAAACTACGTAAAATGTAACAAATTAAGAAAAACTGAATTATGTTATGCTTTTAATGAAAACATGTTAAATGTATGGTGTATAAATAAAATAACTAGCTTAAAAAATGCTTTTACATCAAGAAATAAAGAGTAAAATGACATACATCATAATGCAATCTCCATCCTGATCCTCGTCCCTCATTTCACTCCGACTTTATATTTAAATTTAAATTTTAAAATATTAATATTTTAAAAATATTTCTTTTTCTTTTTCTATTACATATATAGTCATTTTTTTATATTTTGCCATTTTTACCTTTCTTCTACCAACTTTTTATTTTATTTTTTGTATTTTAAATCTTTTACATCAATTAGTTTATTACATTGTTTTCTTTCTCTTACCTTTCAATTTTTCACATTTTCTTAATCTCTCCAATTATTTTGTTTTTTTTTTTTAATCTTTTCCACCAATTTGATGAACACAAAGTTATTTTTTTATTTATCTTTTTCTAAATATTTAATATAAATCTTAATAGTAACTAATATTTTTTATTTATAATTTATATTTATTAGGTTTTATTATATCAATTTTTTTTATATTATTCTTATTTGTCATATATCAAATTTTATCTTAATAAAATAATTATACTTTAAAGGATTAAAAAAATTAATAATTTAAACTTTTATTACTTCGAACTAATTAAATATTTCTTTATAAATTATATATTTCATATTTTTAAATAACTACTTAAAAATGAATTAACTTAATCAAATATTTGAATACATAATAATAATAATAATATAAAAATAATAATAATAATAATCATAATAACAATAATAATGTTATAAGTATTCAAATGTATGTGTTATAATAATAATAATATTATTATTATTATTATTATAAATATTCTATATAGGTATAAATAAAAAATAATTAAAAAATATATTTAATTAATAATAATAATTACGAATTATAAAATTATAAATATTTATTTATGTATAAAAAATACATAAAAATAGTAAAATTAATTTATTATAAATATAATTATTTTTTTTAAATAATATAGATCGAGAATCGGGTGGAAATAGAAAAACTCAAAACTCAACAAAAATAAAGATGTGAACTTAATTTTAACCTTAGCAAAAATCGGGAACGGCTAAAATAGTCGAGGAACGAGAAAAGATAGGCAAAATCCGCTCCCGCCCCGTACATCAAATCTCAAAATATATTTTTGAATTAATCATTAATAATGTTCTCACATCATTGATGAGATTTGAAATTATATCCCTGAACCGTTCCCAATCTCTAAAGAGCCCATTAAAGTTATGAAAATTTGTTTGAAAACCAATTAAGATGTATAATATGTATTAAAATATAAATCAAATAATAAATGAATAATTTCATTGTCAAGTCCAAAAAGTTTAACGTCTTTAAATATCAGTGAATCTTTCAAAAAGTTAATAAGTTTCAATTAACACTGTAAATAAACATATAAATTAAATCATTACGTTCTTGATTAATTTTAATTTCAAACTACATTCTTGTGATTCTTTTAATATGAAATCTTTACTGGATTCATTAAAACAAATATAACAAACAAGTTCAAGCGTGAAATCTTCATCAAAAACACATTATCATGTTGACATTAGCTATATATATATATATATATATATATATATATATATATATATATATATATATATATATATATATATATATATATTATCTCCTCATCAAAACTTCACCCATTTACAATTAACTCATTTTTAACCTAATAACTTCCTTAGTAGTGTTTTATTTGTATAAAATGTTTCATTAACTATTTCATGGTAGTTAACATCCCGAGATAGAGAGAAAAAAGTAGAACTATATATAATGGATGATATAAGACTTGTTAGATTTAGTTTTTTTTTTAGTTTTTAAAAATAATTTTAGATATCAATTTTGAAAAACTATTTTTGAAAACAAGTTAAAAAAATTGTTTAATAATTTTATTTTTGAAAACTATTTTAAATGAAAGAATAACAATAAAAGATCTTGGAAAATGAATTTGATAATTTTGTAGTAATAAAAATGAGTGATTTAATATAGTTATCGGATAGAACGTAAATATCGTAAGCAGAAAACTAGAAAATATTTTTTTATCAATTTTATTTTTTAAGTTAAAAAAACAATATTTTAATAAAACAGTAAACAGGTTTTTTAGTTTTTGAAAATTAAGAAACTGAAAACTATTTTTATAATCAGTAAACAAAGACGCCCATGATTTTTCTAGTAACGAAAGTATTAATATATCTCTCTTCCTATCACATTATACCATCTATAATATCTATATTCCTACTCAGGTGTGATATAATAATATTTGAGATATTCATATATATCATTTTACTTTGTTCACATGCACAGAAAAAGATCAAGCTAGCAAAACAGGGAGGGGTCCATTGAATTGAAAGCTGTTTGACATATAAACGGTCCACATTAACAGAGCAAGCACTCCACATACTTAGTCAAATGACATAATTAGCAATTAGAAATTTTGGAGAGAGCACTACTCAACACATTATAAATACCATGAGGAACCCAGAACTTGTCATATCATCTCATGATATAACAATCTGAATCCCTCTAGTTTCTAGCCTACACATTAATTCCTATTTCTCTCTTCTTCAGCTCTAATGGCTAAATTTCAGACCGTGCACAGATGTTTTTTCATTTTTATAGCACTAGTTGCTTGCCATGGTTCCTTTCTAGCACATGGCAGGAAAATAAAGTCATTGAATCAACATTCTTCACCAAACACAAACACTGTAGCAAATAATATTCCATCACCTAAAACCTACGTTGAACCACCACAGTATGAGGGAGCTAGCAAGTTGGAAGAGTCTTCAGGTGCAGACAACACAAATGCTTTCCGACCCACTACACCAGGAGGGAGTCCTGGTGTTGGCCACGGAATAATTACATCAGAATATCATAATAACATGAAATCAATGGTGGCAGTTCAGAGTCCAGATGTTGAAGTTTTTGTGACTGAGGGGTCCAAATATGATTTCAAACCCACAGACCCAGGTCACAGCCCTGGCGTTGGTCATGCTTACCTAACCAAAATTGGACAGGAAAATTAGTGCATGTATAACTTGTCAAGCTGCATGTCTACGTGTATTTAGTGATGTCGTTGGTTTTCTTTCTGCAATAAACTCTATATATTCTTGCATGCCCAAACATAGCTGTAGTATTATTTGCATATTACTAATGTATCACTCAATTTGTTATAATTTGCTCGTTATTTACAATTGCAGAGTTGTAACTTATGCGAAGCAAATATCAAAATATACGAAAGACGTTTTTTTAACTGAAAACTCTAAAAAAAAAATGAAAAAACGTTACTTTCATATTTCTTCGATAGTATGATTTATACTCTACTTTAAGTAGCTAAACAGAGAAAAATAATGAGTAATAGATATATCTAGCTTAAAAATGTGTAATATTCTAAGAAAAATATTGTTGTGAATTTATGTATGAATTTAAAATTTTATTTAAATATAAATATAAAAATTGAATAATTTATGAATAAGAAAGTCTTATAAAATCTAATGTATTAAAATTTTGGTTAAAAATGATATCATATTTTCTTATATAGTGTATTTGTATTTTATCATTGATAATCTTTTCATTATTAGTCTCCTCTAAATCACTTCTCAATTTTAGGGGAACAGAAAATAAGCTATGATAAAATAAATTTATATTGTTATTCTGTTGTTGAATTTTATCACAAATATCCTAGAAGTCACACTCACAAATTTATAGGTTGAAATATCTTTAGTAACAAAAACTAACATATTAATAGTTAGTATTTGTGAATTAAAAAATTATAAATTATATACTAATAGCTCCTTTATACGTATTATCAGCAAAACCAAAAACTTAATTTCTTCAAAACTAAAATGGTAAATCTTAACATGCTTGATTAATTTGAGTTTCAAATTTAATTCCTGTTTTCATATCAAAACTTTGAAAAAAAAATTCTGATAAAGTTATAGTTTTTAGCATTATTTTAAAGATTGGATCGCACTGGTTTAATTAATTGGTTGAACCAACAACCAAACTAGATATCAGGATGTTGCTTTTAAATAAGTAGATATTATTAAAGTCGGAACAAAATCGAAAAAAAGGAATAAAATTGACTGGGGTTTTTTTTTAACCAATTTTGGTAAAAAAAAAAAATTAGATCAAAATTTTTTAATATAATTTTTTTATAAAAAATATAATATATTTTAATTTTTTATCTCATATTAATTATTCCAACTTTAAATAATAATTATTTTATTATATTTTTATCCTATTTTAATAATTATTTATCTTTCGTTCTTTTAATATATCTTATATTTATAATTTTTATTATAATTTCGGGTGACAATAATTTTTATTATTATTATTTTATAAAAATATTATTATTAATAAATTTATTATTTATATTATAAATTACTATTTTATTAAATTCGAGTGAAACCTTTAAATTTTCCACCATGTGAACTGGTTTAATTACCGAATTTTAAAAACATTAGTATGGGTTTTTAGTAAAAATTAGTTCGTAAATATATATTTTCTTGTAGTTTCACCTTAAATCTTCTTTAGATCGCCCTACAATTTTATCGTCATTAATGTCTTCGCTTGTTTTCCAAGTTTTGGCCAAATTTCTATACTTTCTGGTAAGTTTCCACTACCTTATTCAATATCATAAAAATCCTTTATTATATATCACTATCAGAAAATTGTGAGAACAAGAGTTTACTAACAAAGCTTTTAATTCGCCATCTCTATATTTTCCCCTCCTAATTCACTGCTTTTAAGTGATTGAAGCACACAATTAATATTTTAACTTTGTTTTAGATTAGTTACTTCCTCAGTAGTGTTTCCTTTGTGTAAAATATTGTTTACTAACTTCTGCACTGATAGTTAAGATTAAGAGAGAAAGAGAAAAAAGAGAGTCTAATTAAATATAATAGATAATATATATAACTTTTAAATAACTACGTTATTGTGCAAGTATTAATTTGTTTTGTAGTTGAATAATCTCACAATCATGTTTTTATTCATCAATAGTATTTAAATTTGAAATTGTTTTAAAAGAGATCTAAATACGTTGCACCTATATAACACGGTTTCTCCCCATAAATAAGAAAAAAGAGCCGAAGATGAAAAGAAGCAATATTCAAATCAAACACAAATAGTTGTAAAAAGAAGAGACGAATCTAATTTATTTTATGCACATGCACATTAAAGAGCAAGCTTGACAGGAGGGAGGAGGCCCATTGAATAGAAAGCTATTTGCATCATATTAGCGGTCCAAATTCACATAGAAAGCACTTCACATATTAGTTGCATAATTAGCAATTGGAATCATAGAAGAGAGCACCAATGCACAAGAACATTATAAATACGAGGATCCATAGCTGCTAATATCATCTCCTTTAGCATCTGCTCTCTTACTTACATTATCTGATATACCAGTCTCATTTCCTATTTCTCGCTTCTCAGTGATATGGCTAAATTTCAGACCAGGTACCAATATTTTTTCATTTTTCTAGCACTTGTTGCCTACTATGCTTCCCTTCCAGCACATGCCAGGAAAATAAACATAAAGCCATTCAACCAACATTCCTCACTAAACACAAAAACTGCAGCAAATAACGTTCCATCACATAAAGCCTACGTTGAATTACCACACTATGAGGAAGCTAGAAAATTGGAAGATTCAGGTGCAGGCCACACAAATGACTTCCGACCCACTACACCAGGAGGGAGTCCTGGCGTTGGCCATGGAATAATTACGTCAAAATATAGCAAAATGAAATCAATGTTGGCAGTTCAGAGCCCAGATGTTGAAGTTTCCGTGACTGAGGGGTCAAAAGATGATTTTAAACCTACAGAGCCAGGTCACAGCCCTGGCGTTGGTCATGCTTACAAAAACAAAATTGGACAGGAAAATTAGTGCATGTAGGGTATGCCTAATGATGTACCCAAACTAGTCAACTTGCATGTGTAGGTATATATATATGTAATCATGTCCTTGGTTTTCCTTCTGCACTAGACTCTATATATATTCTTGCATGCATGCCCAACCATAACTGTAGTATGGGCATGGCTTTAATTTGTCATTGCTTGGGATTGTTCTTTATATACAATTTTAGGGTAACTTTATTATGTAATGAAAATTGTAAACTACATAAAAGATGTATCTCAATACAAATTAAATAATTTCGCCTTCTTGTTTCTCTTCATAAAGTTAGAAATTTTCCTGTTAAACAGAAATATTTATACCAGTCTACAAGAATTTTTTTTTTATTTAGTCTTATTTACAATATTTTCAGTCCCTTTCCCTGTTTATTTTAATAATTTTCTCAATAAAAAAAATGTAAATAAAAGCTCTTTTAAAATTTCATATGGCACACTCTTTATTCAAAATTCCGATTCTCTTCACAGAAAATATATATTTACCTGGTAGGTGATATTATCTTAAAATTAATATCTTAAAATTTTATGTTGAAGACATCATTATATTATCTTATAAATATTTTTTTTGTGTGTTAATTCCTTTAAAAAATATTTATAAATAAAAAAATCATAAATATAATATTATAATATAATCAAATATCTGTAATTTATGAAAGTAATACAAAACTAAAACTGATGTAGGTCGCATCCTTAAAATAAATTTTGAATGTATGAAAAAAAAATACTGTTATCATAAAAACAATAAGAAACAAAAAACATTACACAATTAAACACAATGACTACAATTTTGTTTTTCAATAAAACAGAACCAAAACAAATAAAAATCAAAGAAAAATAAGGAAGAATACTAGAAATTGAATGCCATATTTTATAAAATATAATTACTTTATTGTCAAATATTCCCGAATCGTTTTCTCGATCGAGCAACTTTATATTTCAATTTCTCTAAATCCAAGCTTGTCTAATAAGTAAAAGTTTTCTAAAAATTTCTTAATATTAATTTCCATAGAAAATACTCAACATTAACAACCTCATTTTAATAAAATAACCATTTGATAACTCGTTTTTAATAATATCTTAATTATTATATCTTACTCCATATTAATATTAATATTATTATTATAATAATAATAATTATTATTATTATTATTATTATTATAAAAAGAAGTTGTTAATAGATGAAAAACGTATCAGCACTCAAAGGTAAATACGTTCTAACAATATGTTCTCATGCACAGTGGAGTGGTTGACAGTGGTTCATAAGATGCAATTAATAATATCTGCAGAGGACTGAAAGATCGTAAAGAAACAACTCTCATGTTAACTAAATCTACTTTTGTAAAAAATAATATTTCTTTCAATGATGAAATTATTCGCTCTTATTAACTTATAAGTGGGTAGTTTAAGTTGTCATAAACTAAGATATCCCTTGAGCAAGTGATCAGAATTTGAATTCTAATTCCTTTGTATAGAACGATTTAAAATCCATCTTTGAATGTCTTTCAAATCATTTGAAAGCGATTGATTTCAATGAACGATTTAAAAAAAAAAAAAAAAAACTCTTGTAAATCTTTAGCCATGTTGGTACTTTAACCATTTTTTTAACAAAAAAACCTTTTTAGAGTTTGTTATTATGTTGCTAAATTAACTTTAACCAAAACATTAAACCAAAAATGTTATTTGCACATCACGTCAATTATATGGTTCATACATTATTTTCAAGAGCAAGAGAAAAATAATGCCTAATAAATATCTCTTAAAAAATAATTTCGTTGCAGTGATTCTCAAGTTAAAAATATTTCTGTGTGCATAATTTATGGTAGACATTTAATGAAAGATATAATAGATATTTACAATAATTCTAAAGTCGCATCTTAACACAAATTATTATAAAGGATAAATTTATACAAAAAATGGTAATTATCTTTGTAACTCCACTAACATTAATTTTATTGATTGACAGATAAAAACTTGATATATACATTAAAAATGCATAACCATGAAATTTTTAATATAATCATTATAATGTAACCCTTTTGTCTTTACATGAAAAGAATTACATTAAACTTTTAATAGTTAATAATTTAAAAGTCGTAGAATTTTACTTTTCTGGCATGAAACAAGATATTTTAAGCACAAAGAACACAAAGGACATATAGTTGAGATTGGAAGAAAGGGACCTCAAAGATTCCTCTGTCTTCCCGGAAATAATAACTCCATTTTGTTTTTCCTTTTTTAAATGTGAGTGTGACCATGTTACATTGATTATTATTAAATAAACAACCCTCGTGCAGTACAGCACAAAAATCTAGACTCTAGGCAGCACTTTGTATCTTATGATTTATTTAATTTTTGAAATAAAAAATATAAAGTTGAGGGTTAAAAATTATTAGTACTAATTAATCTCTTATATTTATTTCCGTCATATTGATTCTCCGTACTTTAGCTACTTGATTTAGCGAAGACCAAGAAGAAGTGAAGGTTCCCCAGACCCTGGAAGCCAACTTTTTGGAAGATTCTCCATCTCCACCATTACTTTATTTATTTTTTCATTCATTCTTTTGTAGTTTGGTGCACTAATCATTACAAAAACGACAGGTATAGTGACAATCTCAAGTGGTAGGGACTGTGCGACCATGCCCTTCTTGGCTTTACTTTTGTTGCTCTCTTCAACATGATTCCTTAATTTGATTAATTACCCAACACACATTGCTTATGCGTGCAATCATTTAGTCATCTCTATGATTTCTTATTTTTTACATTTCAATTTTTCTTATGAATCCCTTCTTTACTTCATTTTTTATTTGCACATCAAATTTTTAGATTAAATGATTATTTAGGTTGAAGATAGATATATAATTAGGTCATATGATCAAGTCTAATTAATATATCTTAAAAAAGTTATGTGTAATAAAATGCCTGTACCTAGTTTCTTAAAAATATTTAAAGTTCGTGGGAAGTGTTGACTATAGCCTTAATTAGCAGGGTTGGCTGAACAATTAATTATTTCTCGCAATTGCACTGAATGGAATGATTGTTTATTTTATATATATGTAGACTCAAATCCAATATAATTAATTAGCCTCTCCATTGTCTCTCTAAAAACGTCGTGTCATCAAAATGTGAAAAATACTTGAAATAGTATATAGTATTATTTTGAATTTTTTAAACACATTTTTATTATTAAATAAAATCGATGAAAAGATCCTCAAATAAGTAAAGCTAACCTAATTAGTGACTCACATGCAACTTACACTAACAACGTGAAATAATACATTGCTAATAATAATTAATTTAATTCATGGTAATATTAAGGACATCTCCAAAATTTTAATTAGAATTATTTAAGAATAAAATTAAATATTTTATTATAAATTTTAAAATATGGTCCAAATTATTTATTTAAATAATTTTCTTTTAATTTTAAATAACTTTTTTTATTTTTAAATAAATAAAACGTGAAATCTACAATAAAATATTCACATTTATTTTTCACTAACTTTTGATAACAACTCCTATGGGATACACTCAGTTTTTAAAATTTCAACTACTTCTTTTCTACCAACTGGTTCCTCGTCTATAAAGTGGTTTATTATTTTTAAATAATTAAAATTTAATTAAATTGGGATAAAAGCCGAAAATTTAGGATAAAATTAATATAATTAGAAAATCAATTATATTTTTGGGTCAAACTGATTTAAAAAAATAATTTTTAAATACTTTTTTTAATATAAATTTTTATAAAAATATAATATATTTTAAATTTTTTTACTTGATATTCATTATATTAAATTTTAATTACGTTTTTATTTTATTTTAATAATTATTTAACTTATGGATTATGATAATAATTTTTATTATTTATTTTTTTATAAAAAATATATCTTTATTAATAATTTTATTATATATTTATTATGTTATTAAAATATTATTTTATTAAATTTAGTTAAAATTGAATTTAACTTTTAACTCTCAACTTATCTTATGGTCGTTTATTTTTAAAAATATTAATAATATATTAATCATTATAATAATAATAATAATATTATTATTATTATTTATTATTACTATTACATATTTTTATATAATTTCAAAGTCTGAAAATTTTAGGGCATTTTAATTTTTTCTGAAAATAAAATTAGACATTAGGGGAAAATATCATAGGCAATAATATAGAATTGACCTAATGTTATAAATTCGCGGTTGATATACCTTCCAAGGTAGAATATCAATATGGTGCCCCCTAAAAATTAACAGTTCATTCAAAAGCTCACGGATATGTAATAATATGTGCTTTCTCCTGTTTCAATACAATAAAAAACTAATTCATATTAAATTAAAAAATTAGTTAGTGAGAGTTAATCATATTAATTTTATTTAAACATAAATATCTTTTTCTAAATGAATAAAAGAGAGTCATCGAATAATGATATTTTTTTAAATGATATTTTTAACTCGATAGTAAAAATAAAAGAGAGTCGTTCAAAATAAGTTCCAATTAAATGAATAATATTTTAGAAATAATATCATTATATTGGGTACAACTAGTTGAAATATATTTATATTTGAAACCAATACTTAAGATATTTTTCTTTATATTTGAGCTATAGAATACTGTATAAATTTTGTAATTAAATTAATGAAAGAAGATTTCTCCTCATTAATTAATTTATAATATTAATTGTATTTTCTATATAAAAAAATTGAAATTTAATCAATACCTTTTGACAAAACTCTGGCAGTATATTATTTTTTAAAACAAATTATACACATAATGAGAGAGATAAAGTGAGAAGAAACACAAATGTATGATATAAAGTGATCGAAAAAAAAAAGTTTATATAGAGAAAATATTGTTAAAATTTATAGAATAAGATTATTCTGTCGGAAAAGTAAATGCGTATCTCGCCCTACCCATGATGACTAACGAAATCCCGTCAAATCATGGTTCTCATAGGAGCCATCCTTTTGGAAGTCGCTTTTTCTTCACGTATGCATCACATCGTGCTATAACATTGATATATTTCTTTCAGACCATGATGCATAGGAATATTTGGGTCAATTTTGTAGAAAATGAAACTAAATATGTTTCTAGTTGAGACGAGAGAAATACAACGTAGTACGTGGTTTTGACAAAGTTGCGGCAGAAGAAAGGAATAGATTAAGCAAAGAGCAGTCTTAATTAAATGTACCATAAGGCGGCTAGAATATGAATGGTAAAACTTGGTCTTTCCGTTGAATACCCAATCAATTGGATCATAAATGCGACTACCAATGGTTACTGCAAGTCAAACACAAATACAAGAAGAATCTTTCTCCTTTTCTAGGTTTGAAGCTCTGCACACATGCAACCCATTTGAAAATTAGCGTCCCATAATCCCAAATAGTATATAGTATTTCACACAGAGGATCCCATACATGTTGTCACTTGAACTGGTCGACCATAGGAAAAAGGGTTTCTGATGGGAAACAGAGGCCATTCACTTGTAGTGGAAGGGGAAGGTTGGGGAATGCCCATTTCTTGCAGCAGGGTCCATTTTTGATGGTGCGCATGTCAACCACCTATTTTTTAATCATTTCTCATACATAACTTTTCAACTCGTACCTGTTTGTAATAGAGAAAAAATAAATAAAAAATGGTTAAAAGCACTTTTTTAATTCTTAGAAATACTTTGTTGTTTATTTTGAACCTTGGAAAGTTTAGTTCATCACTGAAGCAACGGTTGTCAATAGGAAAGAAAATAAATTGTTTTTAAATGCCCGCATGTGCTGCTGTATATTATTTCTTGTCTTGAATATTTTAAAAGGATTGAAAAGACAAACTTTTCTCTGCCACGGTAAAGATGATTCATAAAATTGCATGGCTTACTGAGACAAAATTTACCAACACAAACATGGTTTAAGAATTAATTAACTACAACTATTTAATTTCATCTTGATATCTAATATAAGCGATTTTCTTAGAGATTCAATACTGTTCGCCCAAGAACACATCCTAATATTAAGTATACAAAACTAAATTTTAAATTTAAAAAACTAATTTTAAAATTAAACACTACAAATTTCAATCCAAAACAATGTTTAACAACAATCCAATAATAATATTTATATATTATTATAATTTTTTATCAAAATGGACTATTTGAACTAGTTTATTCTAATTCTATGAATAAGTTAAAATTATGAATGATTCAGACTGACCAATAATTTTAAATATATCATAATTTTTTATTTTAGACTACTATGTTAATGAATCAATTTTGATCTGATTAAAAATTAAAAAATATTAATATGTCTAAATCAAAATAATTAATTAAAAAATATTTAAATAAAAATAAAAAATATATTTGCAAAATTTTAACTATATTAATAAGATAAATTTTTATTTCAAATATATATATGTATATATTAAAAGTTAAGATATTCATTCCATTCTAACATAAAAACTAAATTTATTTTTCATTATTATTATTTACTGATCAAAATAATACTTTATCATTAGATCTTTGAAAAAGTGGATGTGAAAGACTTATTTTTATATTTACTTTTATAATAAGTGAATATTTTATAAAATTAATTTATAATATATATATTTTTAATAAATTAATATTACTTTTATTTTTATTTTCAAAATAATTATTATGACCTATTTCTCGTGTGTTTTAAGCTGGTTGGCTAAATCTATTTTGAAATTCTTAATTATTATGATTGAAATCCTAAAAACAAATCACCACTTTAATTAAAAAAAAAAAAAGAAACATATAAAACTAATCTCAATTACAAAATACGTCTAAAGGTTCCAATTTAATAAAAGAAAAATAACCATAATCATAAATAAGTTATAATATGGGTGTCATCACTGTTTACTATGGTAAAAAAAATACTCTATAGGTCATCCATCGCTCCAAAAGAAACCCTTGTTTACGTGTGGAAGACAAGGCCCTGCAAGGGGTAAACTAATTTTTTTACATCGGACTTCATATAATCTGATATAAAAAAGTTTTTCTTAATTCAAAATAATATCACTATATATATTTTTTTAAATCAGTTATTTTAATAGTCCGATATTTTTGAAGTAGTGTGACATCTAATCTTATTTTACAAGATAATATGGGTTGTATTCTCATAGAAGAGCCTATCGATTAGCTTCTCTACCTCAGTTAACTGGAGGGATGTTTTACTTGTAATAAAAGATATTAATTGCTTGTCACCTCTTTTACAGTTAAATTATATCAGGGAGTTTGTAATAATCTCATTTTGATATTTTGTAAAATTATTTTTGAAGAGCTTAGTTCCATTCAAAGTACTTGCAGTTGCCAAATCTCAAGTTAGTTTTGTTAAAGTATGTTACTATTTTTGGTAATCTAAATGAAATAGATAATAATGAGATTTAGTATAAGTATCTAATTCTTATTATAAGAAACTTAAGTAGAAACCTGGTTTCAGATTTCCTAGAAATTATTAGTTTAGGTCAAGAAAGATAGTGCTTAATTGTTTTTAGTTTATTGATGTTGTAACTTGTTTCTTACTATCCTTTTAAGGGAATTCATATGAAATTATTGTATTCAAGTTAATATATATATATATATATATATATATATATATATATATATATATATATAGTTGAAACTAAAAACAAAATACATTATTTCTGGATAATACACATATAGAAAGAATATTATGAAATAAATGTCTAAAAATATTCTACAATAAATAAACACATATATATATTATTGAATTAATATTAGTTTGATTAATAATTTACGCGTTGTGAGTCCATGACTATACCAAACTTAATAGATCTGCTTTATATTTTTTTAAGAGTAAAATATTCTTTTAACAAAATAATAGTTTATTAGCATTTTTTACATATTTAGGTAAACTTATTTAGAAAGTAAAAAAATAGTAAAAAAGCTGCATAAGAGAATAGTGTATTTAAATAATGTAAACAAAAGTTACTAATATTTATCAATAACAGAATATATTATACTAAATATAACCGTTGACATCATTAAAGGTCACGACTTAGTAAAGAATAATGTTTCAAATTAACTTTTACAGTGGATAAGATCATGCATTGGCATAAGAGAGGAGACTGAAGTTGTAACTATTGGGAAATTTTGATCTTTGGAATAAAGATGTTAGTCAAATGTATAAGCCCAATAAAAGGCTTCAATTACAATACTTTTCCTCCCATTCAAGTCCTCCACAGTTTCACTCCTTCCAAATAATATCTGTATATAATTGCAGAAAATCTCAGCATAAAAGAGAAGGTTATGATCAATTAGTTTACTAATTGAGATCTAATACTACTTGAGTATCAAATCATATAATTTAGCTCATAGGAAGCAGAATAAGAGGTGAATATCAAAAGCGACATATATCAAACTAAAGTTCACATTAATAATCTACAAAAGATTATCACCTCAATATATTTATATGTACACAAAAGAGCATGTTCGCCCACCCAAGAACTAGAGCCATACAATTAAAAACTATTTGACATATAAGCACTACATTTAAACACTATACATTACATAATTAGTCAAATCAATTGACATAATTAACAGTGACAATGTTGACACACTCAACGTTATAAATACCCGAGGATCCCTCCAACTTCTCATATCACTTTGCTTCCTAAATCTTAGCTAACTTTCTCAATTTCCATTTGATTATTCTCTCTCTTTAGTCTCCCATTTAGTTATTAACTCCTTCTTACCCCTCTAGTCATGGCTATATTTCATGCCACGCCAAAATGTCTAGTGATTTTTCTAGCACTACTTGCCTTCAATGGTGCCCTTTTAACTCATTGCAGGAAAATAAAACCATTGAACCAGCATTCCTTGTTAAAGGAAGACATTGCAGTAGTGCAGAGCAACGTTCCCACTCCATCATCAGAGAAGAAGAAAGTTGACTCATCCGTTATACCAGAAAATGGTGTTGAAGGTTCTGGAGACGCAAATGCTTTCCGCCCCACAACACCAGGGAGCAGTCCTGGTGTAGGTCACCGAAAATTTGCATCAGAAGATAAAGATATGAAAGCAACGGTGGCAGTTCACAGTTCACATGTTAAAATTTACGTGACTGAGGGGACAGATAGTGGTTTCAAACCTACAAACCCAGGTCACAGTCCCGGTGTTGGTCATGCTCAGCAAAACCAAATTGGACAGTAAATGTATATAAGCAATTCCTCATAGGTTTCCCAGAACTAGTCCAATAATGTCTTAAGTTTCATTTCATGTTTCAGATTCTGTATTATACATGCATTGCATGCCAGCTTCCAAATCATGCTTATATAGCATGAGCTTGTCTTTTCTCATTGCTTGGGTTCAAGATGTTATGTATCCTTCAAAATGCTAGCTAGCATTTGCTGCATTTACTATTGTCAGGTTATTGTGACTCAAAATGCAAATTAATAAAATTGTTATTTTTAGAAACGGTTATCTTGGTTAGTGCACTTATGTCACTTAAAGCCCAGAACTGCAAAGTACTGTTATACTGAAAAAATAAAATAAAATAAAAAGTATTCAGTGAATTATTTACATATTAAAAATTTATTAGTGTGGTGAATAATTTTTAATTAACTCCGGGACTCCTCAACTATTTTTTTTCTAATTTATCTCGCTCACCTAATCAACAACTGGATCATATTTCTATCAAACTATTTAGTTGTATTTGTCGAGTAATAGTATTAACATTCCACAAGATTTTTTAATATATTGATGATTTTTTAAAAGGATAATTATAGCGAATTAAAATTATTTTATGATACAACTTGTTATTTGTGTATGAAAATTTAGAGATTTATAAAAATAATTTGATTAATTAAAATTATAAAATTTTGAATTTAACTTAAAAAATTAAATTTTGAAAATTCTTTATATATATATATATATATATATATATATATATATATATATATATATATATATATATATATTCAATTTATACTTTTCTATTACTCAATCTTGATGACAGCATTTTGGTTATGTGGGATTATTTTTTATCGACATTAACTGTGTTATATTTTTTTTCAAGAGCATTTTTTTTTTAATTTTGATTGAAAAATCTTTAGACCAATTTCAATAATTTTTTTTCTAATATTAGTTACAGAAAATTTACAAACACAATCAATTGAAAAATGAACAAAAAAAAATTTCTGTACAATAAATAAACTTAACCAATGTCAACAAACATAATTTTGACCAGTCTTAGGTTAAAATACTGTTATTAATCAAGAAGTTCCTTAATGATGTTAGCTTAAAAAATCTTGATAGATTTTGGCAAAAAAAAAAAAAGTCACAACTAATGTCACATTAGGTTTTTTTTTTTACCTAATTAGTGTATTTTTTTTTAAATTATCAAAATAAATATTTTTAAATAATTATAGGATCAGTTATAAAACATGAGGTCTAAACGAGAATGATGTGTTCATCCACGATTGAATCCAGGATGAAAAATAGGCTTACGACATTGAAGTTTTCATTAGTGGAGATTGTGAATCAACCTACAATGAAAAACGAGAAAGTCTCTATAATGAAAAATTGGATTATGACGATGAATGAAAGAGAGAAGTGGAGTGAAAACATGTTTTTCTTTTTTCTTTTCTATTAGAGACTGATTATATTTAGAACAAAGGAAAAACATGTTTCTGATAAACTAGAAGAAAGACTAAATAATTCATCTGTAAATACTAAAGAACACCAAAAATTGGGATGAATTCGTGTTTGATCTCTATTTGCATTTCTAAATCAATGAGAAATGAAAAACATTTCTTTAGAGACGAAAATATCTGTCTTTAATTAGGATTTATTTTTTAATAATATAACCTACCATATCATAATTAACCATAATATGTATAAATGTTGTGGTTTTTAAGGTTTATATTGAGGGAAATTAGTTTACGATTACAATTTATACTTTTAATAACCTTTTAAATTTCAATTTTTTTAGGATGAATTGTAATCCATAAACAAAACATCTTTCATTAACAAATTTTTTATAAAAATTGCTTTAATTTTATTTTTCTTACTTACATATATTATTTTTTTCAATATCACATACAATTCTTCATATTTTGTTTTTGACAATGTCTTAAACAATATTCTCAAGATGTCACATATATAAAATATAAACCAACACGATTAGTGTATACTTGTTTTCGTTAATGTAATGTATCAGAGGATGAAAGAGCGGGTGTGTGCATGATTTGGATCAAATTATTAGAAGAAAAATGTTAGGATGGATTTGGGGGATTAAGATGAGAGGTTTCTTTGCTTAAGTGAGGAGAAAAGAGCATAAAGTCAACTCACATAATATTAAAATATAATTTTAATATTAGATTTTTAAGTGTATCTGATAACATTTTGGCTATACAAAATACTGATAAAAGATAATAAAGAAATTGTCAAACTAATACGAGTATATCTAACGTGTCTCAAATCTCATAAGGACACAATTATAGGAATGTACTTATTACTATATATCATTATCTCTAAATAATAAATAGGGTATAAATGAAAGAGTGAAAAAAGAAATAAATTGGTGTAAAATAATTAAAATTTAAAATCAAATTGTTATAGAATATTAACGACAATTAAAATTAAATGGAAGCAGAATTTAAATAAATGAAATTTAAAAAATTAAAATAAAGTACAAGAATAAAAATTGTTTTGAAACAAAACAATATAGTAATTAAAATTAAATTGATGCAAATTTTAAATAACTAAAATTTATAAAATTAAAATAAAGTGTTTTTAATTAAAAGTGCAAGAATCAAGAATTGCTTTAAAATAAAATAGTACAATAATTAAATTTGAAATGTCCGGAAACGATAACTTGAAAACTAAATTGAGAATTAGAATTGGAAAAGAGATGAATTGAAAATGAAAATTAAGTAGTACTTGAATAAAAATTCTAAACAATTAAATAATAGAAATTAAAAAGAGTATTGAATAAATAAAGTAAATAAAACAATATAAATTAAAAAATTCAATATAAAATATAAATTACAAATTAAATAAAAGAGAATAAACCAGAAGTGCGATAGCGGTAAATGAACTCGCTTAACTAAAAACTACACTAAGAATTGAGAATAGGAAAAAAGAAAATGAGGATGAGACAAAACAACAATTCTCACTCCAAGTTAGGAGATTATGACTTTGTGTTGTTGTAATACCTCTATTTATAAGAGATTGAATAAGAGAAATTAAGCATAAAATTAATTATAATAAAATCAAATATTTCTCAAATAAATAATTGCAAAATTGGATTGCTGTGAATAAAAATTTCTGGGACTGATTTGGAGAAAATAATATGTTTTTTTAATTTATTTTGAGTGATCCTGCACTGATTTGCATTTAATTCTTGTTTCCTGCTGGCCTTTAATTCAGTTAAATTGGATTCATGCACCAGTTCATTTGCTTGATTCAAAATTTCCATTTGTAACGTTCTGCAAGTAGGGTACATAAGCAAACTTTGACTTCCAAGAAGAGTGAAACTTGACAACTTCAATTTGGATATTTCTTTTCATCACTTTGGCCTATCTCAAATTATCTCTCTGACAAAAGAAGAAAAAGAAATATGCAATGTGGATGTATACATGTATATTATTTATTATGATAAAACTATCTAAAATGCAACAAATTAAGAAAAATTGAATTATGCTATACTTTTAATGAAAATATATTAATGCATGGTTTATGAATAAAATAATTAGCTTAGAAAATGCTCTTAGATCAAGAAATAAAGTGTAAAATGACATACATCAAATACTCTCCACTTTTGCTCTTTTGCACTTCCAAAATCATATCTACTGGTGTATATGCTTGTCTGGTGTCATAAAGAAATCAATCAAGTTTTGGAAGGTTCTCATGTTATGAGTGGCGCACACAAAAAGGAATAAGGCTCAAAACTCACCTGGATGCTTTGTTCACCTTGAAATTAATCTAAATCAGTGTTAATGTTACTCGACCATGACTTCCTATGTGAATCAAACCTTTTAAATTTTGAAATCTTCCTCCTAATCAAGTCTGTCATCTTTTCCAAAGTAGTATCTTATCAATCTACAACATTACACAATAATTAAAATAAAAAATATGAATGAAACCTCATGCATGAAATGCAAATACTCCCCACTTTTGAAATCAACATTGTCCTCAATGTGAAGAATTTGTTATGCAAATGTAAATGAAAACTAACTAAAACAGATTGGGTCCTGGGTTTATCGCCTTAGACGGTACAGGTGTTGAGGCCATCAAGTAGCGACTCGATTCAGCTAAAACAAATAAAGTCTTTTTCTGTAGTAAGTTGGAAAGAGGCAATGTCACCTTATTGAAGTCTCGAATGATTCTCCAGTAAAAATTTGACAATCTCTCAACCATTTGATTTATGAATGGAAGGGAAAAGTGATCATTCCGTACAATAGTTATCCCACTCTTTTTTGGAACAACTTGGGTAGTAGATAACCAAGTATTGTCTGAGATGGAACATATGATGTCATCCTTCAATAACTTGGTCACCTTCTTTTTCACCTCATCAAGGATGATAGGATTCATCCTTCGTTGGGACTGCTTCACAGGTCTGCAATAATTTTTCAAGAAGATTGTGTGCATGGAAATAGTAGGATTGATCCTAGTGAGGACATTTAAGGACCAACTAAATGCTTTCTTGCGCTCTTTTAACATCTTCAACAACCTTTCTTCTTGATCGGGGAGGAGATCACTAGATATGATCACATGTAGCTTTTCAGACTCCTCCAAGTAAACATACTTTGAATGGAATAGGAGTGGTTTGAGATCCAACTCCTCATATTGTTTTTGTGGTGTAATTGCTTGAGTAGTTATTTGTGCTCCTACAGAAGATTCAATGCTATCACCAATCTCCTTATAGATGACCCAACTTTCATCTATACATTCACATTTAGATCGCTCCTCTTGGCTTAAATTCAAATATTCTAAGAGTTGATCATGGTCAAAATCAACTGAGAAGGTGCTCATCAAGAATAACTCTTCCTCAATGAGCATAGAATAGTATTCCTAGAATTAATGTTGGCTTGTTCGGAAAGCCTTCATCATGAATGTCCATGATGTAAAAGTCCTTTTGGCTTAAATTCAAATATTCTAAGAGTTGATCATGGTCAAAATCAACATCTAGTTCAAGCTTTCCTTCCCCT